AACCTCAATAGAAACAAATCACATACAAATAAGATCTAAAAAAGAAATTCTTTACCAAACTGTCAAACAGGGAGCTAAACTGGGAGCTAAAAGGAAAGCCAGCACTGCTAACCTCAACCAACGGTTGCATCTCCACCTCTGGAAGCCCCGGCCCTCAGGGTAGAGGCTGACTGTGAGATGCTCTGACTCCTGGACTGGTCTCCAGCCTGTGAGTCTGAGAGAGGATTAAAGAGCTGCGGGTAGTGGAGTGTCAGGACTGGCATCCAGATGCTCAGCAGTCAAGGGACCAGTGGCTTCAGCCACGTCAAGGCAACAAGCGCAGGTGGGCAATTCAGGAGGCCTGAGCATAAGGACGAGTCCTGCAGGGTTGCCAGGATGCCCCAGAAACCTCGGTTTCACAGAGAAGAGTCTGCATTGGGTGACACTATGGTGACCAGAATGAAGGATCTACCCGCACCCCATCTTAATCTGCCCACTTGCCAGACTAATTTGTAGGGGAATTAGGGGCATGCTTGGGAGTCCAGGGATCAGACTAAGGTCTTGAGTGTGCAAGGCGTGTGCTCCAGCCCTTTGAGCTGTCTCAAAGGCTCCTAAAAAGGAGACTGTGAGTTTCTCAAGGCAGCCAGCTAAAGAGCTTTAGGGATGTTTTGGGCTGAGAGGCTCAGCACTTCCCTCACTCCCTTAGTTCACAGAAAAGTAGGAGTGAGTGAAGGACAAGTGAACGTGTTTGTGTCTCTGCAGGCAAACAGCCAAGGAAGAGCCTGGAGCAAAGGCCCTGGGGTCCTTCTCACCACCTGAATGTGGGGTCCACCATCTCAATTCCCCCTTCCTGCTCCTGCCTCCGGGAGTCCAGAGCTTCAGGGACAATGACTCTGTGCCTCTTCCTTGTCATGGATTCTGAGTCACACAGGCAGAGAAGCTGCACCTCCAGCCCTGGCCTGGGGGAACCCCTGTCAGGAATACAAGTCCTGGAAAAGGGAGGTCGCTGGTGAGTGGGGGACTTCTAGAGGTCAGCAGTCAGCATCATCTGCTCCCACCCCAGTCCCTGATGAAAGACTCCTCTGAACGCAACTTCCCAAACTGAGCCACCAAACCTGTTTAAAAACCAACACACACTATAGATACAATAAAACCAGAATCTGAAAGGGTGTAGCCAACACACACAGGTGAGTCAAACTGTGTCAGGCAGTTCTCAACTGGCCCGAGGGAGGCAAGTGCCCAAGAAGCCCAGGGGAGCTCAGGGCCTAGGCTCCACCCCAGCAGATGGAAGGGCGTTCCCTCCAGTCAGAGATAAGATCTGGGGGCCCGAGGAAACATGCTGACTGAAAATACTGTCACTGCAGCACCATCTGCGTGGGTGCTGGAGACTCTCCTGTGGACAAGCAGTGCAAAAGTAAGCCCCACACCTAAAAGTTCGAAGTCTACTAATAACCCAGGAGAATACAGGTGAAGACAAAGTGATTCACTGATCTCACTGGGAAAGAGTAAGAAAACAGATTTGGAGGGAGAACTGGAAAGAGATGGATGGATAAATAGGAAAGTGCATATCAACTGGCTGAAGAATTCTGGAAGAAAATCAAATGCAGTGTACTGAAAGCCTTTAAAAATGTGCACAAAAAATAAAATAAAAAATGTGCACAATATTTCCTCCACGAAAGAAATAATACAGGGCCATGAAGATGGCTCAAAGGTTTTGCATGTGGGAGCCAGGGGTTCAATCCCAGGCAATGTGGCTGGGGGTGCCCAGTACCACTGGGAGTCGCTTGCTAGCAACAGAGGGTGTGCCCTCCATAAATGTAGGGGTTTTAATAGAAGATATTCCTTATGGACTTCATATGCCATGTATATTTGAAATACACTTTTCATACAAAGATTTTAAAGTATGAAGATGTTCTAGCAGTTTATGATAGAAAAGAGGTTGGAAATGCCCCAAATAGGATATTGGCTAAGTCAGTTATGGTTGACACAATAGATGGAATTCTGTGCAGTCATTTAAAATCTTTTCTAAAAACATGAACAAATACTCCACTGTGAAGTTGAAGAGGAGGCTGCTCAAGACTCGTGACTACAGAACAAGACCCCATTTCTGCATGCGCCCACACAGAGCCCAGGAGACAGCAATACTGAACAGGTTATCTTGGGAGAGGGAACACTCCTTGTGCCCAAAGTGATTTCTAAAGCTTCTACGACAGTGTTTTTATTCAGAGATCAAAAAATCCCCTAGGTTATTTAAACAGAGCAACAAAACAGGATTACAACTTTCAATAGTGTTACTTTCCTCTCTCTGTCCTGTGAGGACAGTACAGCAAAGGCCAGGAGAAGAGGGTAGTGGATGAGGAGGTGAGCTGGTAAGGGGTTTCATGAGCTCTCTCTGCAGTAAGGGTCATCAAGGTAACACTGGTTCTTACGGAAGACATTTCTGATGTGAAAGGCATACTACCAGGGTACACAGGTCGAGGGAGCAGACGAGATTTCAGTGGAACAAATTCCGGAGGGCTCAGTTAGCTTAGGGAGGAGCCCTCTGAGAAGGGACAAATGTACTCCTATTCACCTTTTGAACATGTGTAGTTGCTGGTGGGAAAGGCTGCAGGTATAGTCAACGGTCCTGCTGCTCCATCCCTCTTCACTGCAAATGACAGCTCAGCTCCATCCACTACCTCTGCAGTACCCTCCCCAGCACGGCCTTCCATCTATCTCTGATGGGTCGGAAACCAACCCCTAGACATCAGTAGGGTCCCCTTCCCCGCCAAGCTCAACTCTCGCAACTACAAGTCCTATGAAAAGAGATCAAAATTCCAGAATCACTGGGGAAAGGGCTGGAAATGGCCCTGTTAATCAGAACTGGGGACTAAGGAACCGAGGTCCATAGGAGAAACAAGGTACTGAAATAGAAAGGTCTTCCAAAAGGTAAAGGCTTTCCTCCATGTGGGAGCAAAGCTTCAGTCCAAACCATGTCGCCAGGGACTGAGAATTGGCTCACCCTGCCAAAGTCCGTAACATTAGAGATAACCAAAGGCAATTTCAGAGCTCATCTCCCAAAGGGCCACAGGACTATGATGGACATGCCCTTGTTCCACCTGTTAGAGCACCTGCAGGCTTCCACCTAGCAGCTCACCTGGTCCTTGGATAAATACCAAGGCTTGGGCCAGCTAATGCCTTGCCTGAAAGTTCACAAGGGTAGTAAGTGGCAGGACTGCTAGAATCAGCTTCTGGTGCCACTGTCCCACCACCGCCACCCCCCATACACACATCACCACCACCATGTAAGTCTATGGCATCGTGCCACATTTAGGAGAAATAAAGGTGCCATTGTCACAGAATCTGCCACCTGTGAAACGCCAGCAGAGATGGCACAGCAGCAGATTCTAACTACTACGGGGGCTGAGTGGGGTGGACATGGAGGGAAGAGCCACAATAAGTCCCCTGGACCCTGGGTAAACAGCAAGTGGAGCCCCATCACTGGAGAGCCCTGCAGGCTGCTCTTTGGCCCTTCCTGCAGTTCCCTGGACCAGCTCTGCCACTCACCCCTCGGGAGTGTTCACTGAGCTAGAATCCAAGCTGGAGACATGGCTGCGAGCCTGGTCTCTTCAGCGAGGTGTGCAGGAGCAGCCAGTGGCCTTCGACCAGACCCGGAAGACAAGCAGAGAGAGGAAGGCACTGCCACTGCAGTAGGGTCTCTGGGAAGACCCTCCCAAGACTGATCTCTGGAGAGAGCTTTCCTGCTCTCTGCCAGGGAAAGCTCAGCACCCAGTCAGAACACAGGAGGCACTGAGTCGAGGGGCTGTGGCTCCGCTACAGTGAGGCAGGCCCCACAACGTGCCTCGGGTACCCCAGTCACTGGCGTGAAATGAACTGGGCTGGGCTGGGGATGGTGGGAAGCGGTGGTACCTCTGGTACTGGAGGTCCCAGGCAGTGTCAGCTCTGGATGGCACCATGCTTCAGGACACAGCACTGTGAATCTGGGACTCTGGAACCTGGAAGCTCATCCTATTAAACACACGTGCTCAGTGGCTTCTGCACGAGCAAGAAAGGCACATCGCCACCGGGCTAAGAGAACGCGGATTATCTGGAGCAAGGGGATGATGAGGGTGAGACTCACAGAAGTGAGTTCTTACTGGGGAGATGTCCCACCAGACCACAAAGAAACCCGACAAGTCACGGCAGCGGGGTCTGGGTCGCGGCCACGCCGGAGGTGCCGACCCCCACCACCCCGACCTGCCGGCAGGTCCCCCGAAAACCCCACTGCCCGGCGGGGGTCGCACGGCCCCTCTGCTCGGAGACCCGGCTGGGGCGCACCGAGCTGCGGCCCGGAGTCGCTCGGCAGCCCGGCGCCGCGATGCCGGGTGGGCGCAGCGGGAAGGGCGGGGGGTCGCGCGGCTCCGGCGGCGTCGCTGGAGGCCAAGGCCCCTCCGCCGCCGCCCGCGGGGTCGGCTCGGAGACCCCGGCAGACAAAAGCGTCTCCGCGGAGGAGCCGCCCCCGCAAGGGGCAGGAGCCCCAGATGCTATCAGCCAATTACCCAAACGCGCACGGCGCCGCAAGTCGGGGCACGCTCCGCGGGCGCGGGCCGCGGGAGGGGCCGCCGGCCGGGCGCGCCCGCCGAGCCTGGGCCTGGGGCGCCCGGGCGCGGGCCCGCCCGGGGGTCTGCGGGGCACTCCGGGGCCCGCGCCCCGCCGGGGGGAGGCGCCGCGCCGCCCCGGGGCCAGCGGCCCCCGGGTCGCCCCGGAAACGCCGCCCCCCGCCGCGCGGCGCGCCGGGTCGCTCGGCTCGTGGAACAAAGAGCCGCTCCCGCGGAGGGTCCGAGCCCGCGCGGACCCCCGACGGCCCGCGGCCGAGCCCGCCCGTGCGCGGGCTTTGTGTCCGCGCGGGGCTGGGGGCGCGCGGCCTCGGCCGCCCCGCGGGCTGCGCCGCGCTCCCACGTCGCGGCCGCCGAGGGTCGCCCCCGCCCCCGCCGGCGCCCATTCATTCCCGAGCGGGGGCGCGGCCGCGGGGCCACGCTCACCTTGCTCTTGACTTCCACCGCGCCGCAGTCGTAGAAGCGCAGGGTCTGAGACTTGTGGAAACTCCGGTTCATGGTTCCGGCCCCGCTCAGCCCCGGCTCGGCGGCCGCTCCTCGCTCCGGGGGCGGCAGAAGGACGCTGGGGGCGGCGGCCCCGCCGCGGCCCCCGGCCCGGCCCCGGCTCGCGCTCGCCCGGCAGCCCGGCTGCTCCGAGAGCGGCGGCCCGAGAGGGGCTGGCCGCGCGCCTGGGGACTCCGGGGGCCGCGCGCGGGAGGAGCGGGGGACGCGGCGCGCGCCGCCCCGGGCCGGCCCCCACGCCAGGCCACACCCCCGGGCCGGCCCCCGCGCCGGGCCACACCCCGGGGCCCGCCCCCTCCCCGGCCACACCCCGGGCCCGCCCCCATGCCCCGCCCGAGGACACGCCCCGCGCCCGCGCCCCGCCCCGGGCCCCGAGCCAATCGCCAGGCCCCACGCCCGGAGGGCCCGCCCCCCGCCGCGGCCGCAAACTCGGCCTCCCCGGCCCGCTGGGCTCGCGTCGGCGCGTCCCGCCCGGCGCCCCGGAGCTCGCCTCGGCCCCGCTCGGCGCCCTGGTCCCGGCGGCCCGCCCCACGCCTCGCCGCTCTTCTCCGCGCCCCCCAACCCGCGGAAGCCCCGAGGTCCCGGCCGCCTCTCGCACCCTGCGACTGCCCCACCGCGGGGTCCCGGACCCGCCCGCCGCGTCCCGCCCAGTCCAGCCCCCGCAGCCGGAGGGCCCGCCTCGAGAAGCGCCCCACGGGTGCCCCTACGGCTGCGTGCGAGGCAGACGCCCCCGCCGTGCTATCGCGCCCGGTACCGGCAGGCGCGAGGCCCTGGGGTTTCCTCCCGCACCGGCGCGAGGAGACCGGGAAAGACATCGCCGACGCTTTGCGTTCCCAGCGGATTTTACGGAAAGGGTCGACCGCCTTCCCACCTCGCGACGGTGCGTCCCGCCCGGCGCCCCGAGCTCGCCTCGGCCTCCCTCGGCGCCCTGGTCCCCCCGCTGAGTAGAGCCTGCGCTGCCCGTGGACCCTGACGGACGTCCCCGGGCCGCGCCTCGAGCCCGGTCGCCCGTTCGCGGCGAGGGTGGGCTCTGGGGAGGAGGCTCGCCGGGAAGCTGCAGCCAGAGGCTCAGTCTAGCCCGGGGCGAGCCTCTGCGCCCCCCCCCTCTGCCCCTCCCACTCCCGCCCCGAGGCGGGAGGCTTTCGGGTGGAAAAGCAGGGCCCGAGGGATACTACAGGGGACGGCGCTTCCCCCAGCAAGGCATCCCGGGTGGCCCGGAGCCCTGCTAGGAGCAACCCTTGAGTGCAGCGGGGTGTGGCCCCGTCCTCCCTCCACCCCCAGCAAAAGGGAAAGGAAGGTGGCATCACTTAGCAGAATTACCTACCAAGGGAGGGCCTGTGAAGCGGAGTGCAGATCTGATCCTGTGTTTGGGGGGCTTGCGATGAAAACCCGGGAAGGTATATTATGGACAAGAGTAACGGATAAGATGCCATTATTATTTACTAGAAATTAATGTAACATCAGCTACAGAATACAAAGAATTGGAAAAAAATAAATTAACTCGTAAACGTGAGCAGCATAGCTATGTATCTAAGACACAGATTCAAAAACCCTGAAAACATGAGATCTAACCATTGGAACTTTGTGGTGTGCCTATCAAGTTGACAGACCGGAAGATGGGGCAGGGATTAGTGGTGGGGCTGGAATATCCGGACGTTGGTGGAGGCAAGTTGACACTGGTGATGGAAATGGTGTTGAAATAGTAGCACTGCCCTCCCGTTGTTCATCAATTTGCTCGAGCCGGTGCCACTAGCGGCTCCATTGTGAGACTTGTTGTTACTGTTTTTGGCATATTCAATACCCCACAGGAGCTTGCCAGGCTCTGCTGTATGGGCAGGATACTCTAAGTAGCTTGCTGGGCTCTCAGAGAGGGACAGAGGAATGAAACCCAGGTCGGCTGCATGCAAGGCAAACACCCTACCTGCTGTGCTATTGCTCCAGTCATTGAAATAGTACATACCTAAAAGACAACTATCAATAACCTTGTAAATCACAGTTCTTTAAATTAAAAGTCTTCATTTGTCCCTGACGCGTGCTAGTGTAGCCCAATGGCGTCTGTTCATTCTAGGAACACAAAGAGCCTCAAACCTATCGTTCATGATTTTGATGAAGAAGTCTGACCATCTGGTAGGTGGGCCGCCACACGGTCTTTTGACATCCTGTGGAATCCAGTTGGTAACGGCTCTAGTCCAGCGGTTTTCTCTGAATCTCATTACATGACCAGCCCATCTGATTTTTGACGCCTTGGCAAACGAGACAGTGTCCCTGATTCTTGATCGTCGATGGAGGTCGGAACTCCGGATTCTTTCTCTCATTTGAGTGAAACGTAATATTCCAAGCACAGCTCTTTCCATTCCTCTTTGGTAGACCCAAACGGTGTTCTCATCCTGTTTGTGTAGGGCCCAGGTCTCTGAGGCCCTTGTAGGACCCATAAGCATACTACCCAGTATAGTCAGCTCTATTAATCTTTTGGTTTATTCTGTTTCTTCACATATATGTATATCTGTAATTTATTAAATTGTGATCGTGCTGTTTACCCAGTTAGCAACCTACTTTGTAAACTTTGTTTCCAAATCCAAGTTTGGATGCTTGTCACTGAGAAACAGGGTTGATTGCAAAAAATCTAAGCACGCAGAAGGTTGTGTGTTCACGGGCTCTCTGGATGGCTCTGTCTCACCGCCCACATTCAGTGCTCTTGAGCCGCTGTGTGTAGCCTGGATCAGGATGGCTATTCTCTCCCTCAAGCATGAGCCCCTCTCGCTCTGACTCTGGATCTCTGGAGCCCGAGCTCTTTCACTTTTGACTCTCTCCAAGCTTACATTCTTAGTTTATAGCAATCATGTAGGGTGGTGATACAAAGGTGGGTTGAACATCGACAAATCAACAAAGAGAGGTAAGACCACTCCTCCAGGAGATTGACTCAAGGATAAAATTTCATCTAAAGAGACTACTTCAGGGGGCTGGAGAGATAGCACAGCGGATAGGGCATTTGCCTTGCACGCGGCCAAACTGGGTTCAATTCCCAGCATCCCGTATGGTCCCCTGAGCACTGCCAGGAGTAACTCCTTAGTGCAGAGCCAGGAGTAACCCCTGTGCATCGCCAGGTGTGACCCAAAAAGAAAAAAAAAAGAGATTGCTCCAGATTACTAGGAGATCCGCTCAAGGGTGGGATCCTACTTAAATAGTTGTAGTAAAATCTACTTCTAATATTTCTAGCACTGTCATTCTGTGTGAGCACAGTAAGAGATATAAACATCTCACTATACATTCCACAGTCCTCAGCCCAGGTTAGTCTTCCTAGCTCAGCAGGATCCTAGTCTTGTCATTACCTTTGGATCATGACAGCATTTGTCCATGATCATGCCCTCAACTTATAGTTGAGTATTGTGGCGCTTTGGCCTGGCCCATTTCAATGCCAGGGTAGCTCACAGCTCGCTCTGGATTCATTCAGTCCCTCGTTGGGACCCTGCTCTTGGGATGCTAGGAACTAAGGGCAACTGAGCCAAGAAAGCAGATGCCTAGGAGTAAATATTATTTGGAGTCAATCAACTCTTAACTTACAAAGCATAATATTAACTGTCTTCCTGCGTCCATACAGAAAGGACATTACTTTAAGAAAAACTATTCAAAAGACATAAGGAGAGGAGAAAGGCAACATTAACTTATGATGCAAGTTCAGTGCCCTGGAATGGGTGTGTCCTGATAAACGTAAGCTACCTGAGGAAGGACAAAACAGTGTTTTCCTACAGTTGATGAAGGAGCGGGGTTATTTGGGAACCTCTTCTATAACCTGAGAAGATGGCAGACTTCTTTTCTCCCTCAAGGAATCTTCCTATCAGGGCTAGTTGTTACGCAGAGCTTTTGCTGGGGAAAGAAAGTGATCTTGTGAGAAAGGAGCCTTCAGTTAATGGTTAACGAGAAGAAAGGTAAGATACTGGGTTTTGAATTTTGTCATTTACGAACAATCAGCCATTGAAAAGAAAAGCAGAAAAACTTACTAATAGAAATACTAAAAACCTCATGCAATAAAAAATTTAATTTCTTTATTTTGCTTTGGGGCTACACCTGGCGATGTTCAGGGCTTACTCCTGACTTAATACTCAGAAATTATTCCTGGTGGTGCTTTGGGAACCCTATGGGATGCCAGGGATCAAAATTTAATTTTGATGGGGGTATGGTGCCACCAGCAGGTCAATCTGTACCTGTGAGGCAAGTGCATCAGCAACCTCATGGCACCTTCAGACTTCCAGATACCCCAAAATTGCTGCTGTGCTTTTGACCAGACCCCAAAAACTTGGGGCAAACTTTACCAAGAAAGTAAATGGACAAAAGTTAGGTATATGGGAGACACACCCACAAACCACCTCCAGCTCAGCTATATAATTGGAGGCCTGGCCTCTCTGGTTCCTGATTGAACTGCTTAACAGCCATGATCCCAAAAACTCAGAGACAAATCTCGGAACCCAGCAGCTTTTGGCAGGGATGCATCCGGTTCCTACAATGGGTTACCGGCGCCAGACCAACCCAGGGGAGAAAGGGTGCTGTCCCTTCGCCTGCTCCCCCTTGGCGGCTCCGTGGCCACCATTTTCCAGAAGCCATTAAACAGGTTTGGGCCCTCAGTGACGAGACACGCGGGGTCTCACAGAATGGGGGTGAAGCCGGCCCTTTCCTCCCTGTCCCAATGAGACCCTGAGTCACCATCCAGAACAGCTTCTCTGGCTCCTGATTAAGCTGCTTAATGGCCATGATCCCAGAGACTCAGAAACAAATCTCAGAACCCAGTGGCTTTTGGCAGAAACGCGTTCGGTCCCTCCAGTAGGTTACCGTAGGTTCCCTGCAGGTGGGAATAGGTTTCGTGCCTTGTCCTGTTCCCCCTGGCATCTTGGTGGCTGCCATCTTCCAGAGGCCACTGGACGATCAGGATTGGGTCCACAGTGACGAGACATGCGGGGCCTCACGGGACGGGGGTGGAGCTGGCCCTTTCCTCCCCACCCCAAAGAGACCCCGAGTCACCACCCATGAATGGCCTCTCTGGCTCTTGATCAAGCTGCTTAATGGCCATGGTCCAAAAGACTCAGGAACAAATCTCAGAAACCAAACCCAGCAGGTTTGGGCAGAAATCCCTCCAGATTTAATTGTTAAAATTTCAGAAATCCAAAATCACGCAGCCACTACTGCAACCACACGACATCATATGTTGTTCATAACCAG